ATATTTTGCTCATTATTAAATTTACTATCAGTGCATACAAATTTAACTGTTATGGTAAGCACAACTAAGACAATTTAATTTAATTTAACAAATAATGTTACGTAAGTACTTATTAAATATTGTAATTAATTTAGATTTTATGCCATAATTAAAAATTATTGTTAATAATCAAATTAATTTCAATATCAGGAAAGTTAATAATGATTTATATTTTTTGTTGGGAGAGGATTGGAATTAAAAATTATGTTATTTAGGAAAGACGACATAAAATTAGAAGAAAACAGGAATTTAAACACAAACCCACTTCTTGACAAAAACAGTTTTGGTTTTTTTTGTATTATAACACGGCTGTAGATAGTTAAAATTTGTACTGAATATATAWGAATTTTCTATACACTTGAGATTTTATTTAATTAATTTTTTTTTCCAAAAATTGCCATGGAAAGTTGTCTTGGTTAGAAACTTAAAAAAATAATACTAGATTCCTCATAAGTTGTAATAGCTGGAATGAAAATAATGTGGTAAGTAAATTTTTTTTGACAATTTATGAGCGTCTGAAGTTAATTTAAACAGTTATTTCTGATCAAATGTTTTTCTTATTTCAGACCTATATTGGTTTCATTAAGCATACAGAAATCAGCAGAGTAACATTCAAAATTACATAAGCATAAAAATCATCAAAACTATGTTTTGTAATATAAGTAATAAAATACTTACAAACCATTAAGTATATGAAATTATTAAAAGGAATGGACGATGGAGCGTATCATATTTTAAGGAGTAATATTTGAACAATTCATATGACGTCATATGTATTTGGGCTACGTCTAAGTGTAGTGAATTAACATTGGTATTTCYGAGAATTGTTGTCATAAAGAGACGAGAAACTGCCTCCAGATGCAACCCTCATATGTGCAAGCACAAGCCAATACATTGTGAAAATGTAATTATGTCTGCATAAGTATAAAAACTATTTAAAGTGGTAGTAAATTAAACATACTTCCAAAAATTGAGCTGTAATTTAAAAAATGGTTGAATTTAAAAAATGTCTAGACATATATTCACTGGCAAGGGTCAGTAAAGCTTTTTGATGTCAAGGGCCAAAAAAAAAAATATATAATATATAATAGATATAATATAATATAATATAATATTACCACTGCTTTTTAAATTTAATTTTGTAAGTGACTAAAATAAATAAAGTAATGCAATAATTTTATGGAATTTTAGAAAAATCTGAACCTTAATTAATAACTGACTTCTTAAAAAACCTAGATGATATTTTGTAAAAGAATTCATTAATATACTAAAAACTAAAATCGGGCATTCTGAAGTATATGGGATTTACCACCACTTATTGGATTTGAACATAATATGACAAATTTATCTGCTATGATCCAATGAATAATGTTTGAACGCTTAATATAATAAATTAGTATGAAATAAAATAGTATGTTAAAATAATTAAATGTTATCCACAACCAAAATAATCATATTATAGTATATGAATTATAAGTAGTAATAATATAATAAATAATTTAAGAAAAACTTTGTGCTCCCAAGAAACTATATACTGACTTTAGTTCAGTATCACTTAGTGTAGAACTTATGATATCGTGCAGTGTTGCATAGTAACGGTAATTGGAAAAAAAAGCCCCAACTAAATTCATAACACATTTTTATCACTGTACATTTTATAATTTTACATTTTTAAACAATATAGGTACCTATAATACCTATTTTTACTACACTATTATTTAACAATTATTTTTAAACAATATATGTGACACTTTTTGGGGATAGGTACTTATAACCATATAATACCTATATACAATATAATAATACAATGCTATGCAATATATGTAGTATAATGAAAGTAATAGACATTTGACTTTATCTCAAAACGTATGAAGGATGGTAGACTCCTATCTGGAAATGGRTCTTGGTATCTACAACATTTTATTATTACAAATGTGGTTTTTTCGTTCATACAGTTATTGATGTGAATCACATCTTAAATTAAAAGTGTGTACCTATAGTTAGGTATGATATTCTCTTCAGTACAAATTTTTCAAACATCTCGTAATTATCGTGTAACATTTTGAGTTTTCGATTATTTTGGATTAAAAGTGCGAATATAAAATGGAAGTAAGTAAAAAATAGGTATTATAGGTACCTATATTGTTTAAAAATTAAAAATTATAAAATGTACACTATGATAAAAATGTTATGAATTTAGTTGGGGCTTTTTTTCCTAGATTCAAAGTAACACAGCACTGCAGTAATTTCATTAAATTTTACTTAATGTAACACAATTGCAACAAAATTACTTTTTAAAAGTAGTTTCTATGAAGTAACACACTACCATGTTATTTTCCACGTTGTTAAAATAAGTTTTTAATGTATTATAAAAATAAAACGATAGGATTTTCCAGAAAAATTAGAAATCAATTATATTTATTTTTAATTCTGATAATAGTAAATAATTGTATTTAACATTCTAGGAATTAATGTTGTTATTTTATTAGCATAATAATAGTTATAACTGTAGCTGGATTCCCACGACTAGTGCACTTGGCCAATATTTGGTACTGGGGTTACTTTTCACGCTGTCAGATCGCCGTACTTGTACAATTATTTGTCACTGGTGTCGTTCCCGATTGTCATTAAATGTGACACAAGTCAAAGGAACGGCCAATATACTTGTAYTAYTGATCCCACGACCGGTTCGTATATCAGCCAGCAATGGGAACAGTGTACTTGGCTAGTTGTACAAGTGCTCCAGTATTGGTGTACTTGACAAGTACCGTGTGAGCACCATATTTGTCCACTAGTCAAATGTACAATTATTGGCATATTTAGCAAGTATACCAGTCATGAGAATCCGGCTTATGAGTATTTAGTACTTATACATATATTACGTTATTTAAATAAAAATATTTGAAGTAACGAGTAACATAATTACATTACTTTTTAAAATTAATTAACCCAACACTGACCATACATATCATTGAAAATGTGGTTATTCTAAAATTAATTAATCCAAAGAAATTTGATTTCTACCATTTTGTTTTTATATTATTTACCTTTAATTTAATTTTGTGTTATATGGTTATAAGAAAAATATTATTAGTTATTACTAATGCATGCATTGAAAAAATTACATTGTATAAAGATGTTATCCAAATTAATAAGAGGATGTTACCCATTAATTTGTTCTCTTTCTAAAACAAGTATGATATACCAAATTACCGTTCACTACTTTCAACTTTGCGCTGTTAGTTTTAAAAGCTGTATGAATCAACCAATAATCATATCCTTATGAACATCAAACTGTGCTTGAGYKAGCTTTTATTCAATATTTTTATTTTCAAGCGAGAAATACTGTGTATGAGCATTTTTAATCTTAATAATCTTTATCAATTGAAAAATAAAATAAGCACAGATTACATATTATGTTTATAAATTAAAGTCTGATAAAGGGTCAATTCATTCTAAAACAAAAACTAACAGCATACTATTGAAACTAGTGAACAATATTTCCTATGCGTATGTTTGTAAAATGGAGATAACAAACACGTGAGTAACTTCTTCATTGATTTGTTTGATTGAATCTAATGAGGTAAATATTGTCTCAGAATTTAACATTAAAACTTACTAAACCATTGGGATATTTTGAAAGCAATGCTTCTTTTCCAGAATACATTTCTACAGTTTTGGCCCAACTTCTTCTGCCATGATCATTACAAAATCGTACATGTAATGAAAATTGTCTTTTATTTTCTAAAAACATACAAAAGTACCTTAATATAAAATTAAAGCACTAGGATAGAAGAGTACTCAACAGATATCAAAAATAATATTTTGTGTCTTTTGAATACAATATAAGCATATCACAAACAAACTCATAAAAATATATTTAAGATTTTTTTTAAATTATCAAAAATCTTAATTCAGAAAATTTATTTTTGAGTATTAACTGAAATCACTTAACATGGAATAAGTTATAAACCTATTTACCATAAACATAAGACAATTAGAGCTGATAAATTATGCAAATTTTTCCATTTTAAATTTAATAAGAATATGAAATTGAAGAATAACTACTTAAATAGGTATAATATTTAAATTTAAATCACTAAAATATTATTGAATACAAAATAAATAACTTACCAAGTGATCCTTTAATGTACACATTAGTTTCTGGATCAATACAGACAATGCTAGGCCAAAATGGATATCTACCAATTTTGGCCCAAACGATGTCACCAATTTCAAAATCTTTTTTTTTTTCATTATTAGGAGAAGGAGGTTTGGGTTCCACAGCTTCCATATTCTGTTTTATAAGAGATWCATTTTCCACGCTGTTAATTTGTTCTACTTTTTGTACAGGAGACTCAACTTTAAGCAATGATTTAGATTTATCATCTAAGTTAGAGTTGTTGGTCAGTACATTATTAACAGGAGTTAATGAGCTTGTTGAACATGACAATTGATCATTTTCTGTAGAATTTGATTCGTTTTTTACTGCAGAATCAGCCATTGTATCACTTGATTAATCTGTGATAAAAATCCAATTTTAAATAATAAATCATATTTAATAATGCAACAGTGTGGCAATTTATATTAGAAAAATAACTTTTGAAATAATTTTATTAAATCACTAACAAAATTCAATATTTTGCCATCAATTTATCCCAGAGATATGAAACAGGACCAAAGGTTTTTTATAAAAATAAATAATATATTACTATTATTATATTGGTGAATAATAAGACAATTAAATCTATAAAATAAAAATAAAAAATACAATAGGCCTTGTAAAGAACAGCAAAAAATACTAGCTGATAATATAAATATTGTTGACGAGATTACAAATAAGGCACGTCCGTACTATTGTATTCAATTAAAAAAAAAATCGTAACATTAAACGCCAAACTAAAAATAATTTATCTAAAACTATGTAGATATTTAACCCAAGTACCATTGGTATTTATGGTGGTAATTTAAGCTAGAATTTGCTCAACATATTTGTAACTTTTAATTATTCATACTTTTATGTAAGACATGTACAATGAGAGATTAACTCAGTTTTAAATCAGATGAGTAAATAATTATAAGGGTACTTTTCTGTTATCCCTACTACCGCGACTCTCAATTCTGTTATCTCGACTACCACACAGATTCCGCGACTACTCAATTCTGTTATTTCGACTATTATAGTACTATCCAGATAGTTGCGTATTTTAATACATAATACACATCATGAATTGCCATTTATGTAATAATGTATATTAGTAAAACGTTTATTATCAGCAATCACATAAATTATCACAGTAGTGGAGAGTTATAGTATAAAACCACGATTTAAGAAAGTACTAACTTAAATCGTATATAAAACATAAAAAATCATCAAAATTATCAACAAAACGTCAAGCGGTAGGGATAACAGAAAAGTACCATAAAGTTATAAACTTAATTTAAAATTATATGAAGGTAAAATTAAAACTAGCTTCATAAAATAATAGTAGGTAGGTATTTTTTTATATTTCTACTTAATTCTGCTTGCATATAAAAATAATTTATTAAATATGTTTATTATTTCATAAGTTGGTTAGGTTTTTGACAAGGTCATGCATGTGTTTAAAAGAAAAGTAAAAAAAAAAAACTAATACAGTCATTAAGTTTTTAAACACAATATATATCCCTGGTAAAGGTAATGAAGAAAAATGTTTATAACATAGTAATTAAAAATGAAATTAATTTAAGCTTATAATATTATGTTTAACGTTTTTGTTAATTGTGTACTAAATTAAAACAATTGGTATAGTAATAAAGTGAAAAAACAATAAACTGCCCTTCCAAATTTGGTAGCAAGCATCATTATTCTGGTTCAATACTTTAATAAAACTATAAAAGCATGTTGAAAACTCATATTCATTATTTATTTATATTATGCTGCCAATAGGATATTATCAATAGAAAGCAAAAACAACAATGTGCATTATAAAATATAAAATGTACCATTATGTTAAGTTTACTATTCAGTAAAAATAATAGTTTAATAATAAGCAATTTTATAAAATGAATTCAACATAATATCATATATTTAATACTACTCACAAAATAAAAAACAGCCATTTTAACAACATTGAGTGGTGTACACTATTATTTAAGAAAAGACGATAAGAGCAATAGTGCAAACTRCATATTGTAGTAACTAGATTAATTAAGCTAACTACTTCACTCTTATGTTGCATTTGAAAACAATGATTTAAGTGTCTTGTCATTGAATTCTGAACAGGACTCCATACAAAAACWTTTTTTCAAAGCCCCAAAAGAGTCGATGTCGAAGAAACATCATTACCAACTAATCAACACATTAGGAATAATATATAATTAAACATTCAAGTCCATTATCTGTATAATGTACATTAATCTAGTACGAGTAAGAAGAAACGGCGAAAAAAAATAAAACATGACGTAAGAGTTTAAAATAATAATAATATTATATGATCAGGCAAAATCTAAGATGGTTTTTCCAAAAAAAAAAAAARCAACGATATGTCAAATGACAACTATAATAACGATAACAATAATTATACTACACAATGAATGATGAACGAATGTCGTGTATAATAATAAACAAGCGGCATTTGAAAACGCAAAACAACATTGCAATCAGTACGTGTGTACGATTTACACAACACACGGAGTTGATAACGTCTTCTGGCGCGAAACACCCACCACCCGCTACAACCAGAACAAAATACGATTATAGATAATACAACGAATGGAAAATACCAATAATAAATGCACTCGATGCTCTGTGATCGTATCCCGAGCGAATTATATATTTAACAACGTAATTCAACTGGTAAGAATTGTACCGTTATTTACCGTGTGCTAACTACTACAGACATATTATAACACGTTCTTCCGTCWTCTATTATATTATACGAATAAAAGTTTATAATTTACGGTCCCTTGCGGGTTTTCGGCCGGTAGTGGGTAGTTGCCCTATGGGTCTTTGCAAACCAATAGTTTCATATTAATATATAGATCAACACATACGACATAATAGACAAATAAAAAATTGTAGCAGCGATTGAMGACAAAATTAAAATTATATAATATATCAAGCAATGTACACAAATTAAATAGTAGGTATTTAAAACGCTACACGATTGTGACATATTACATTWTACACTTTTTTTATGCGAATGAAAACCGACACGACGATGTGTCTCTTCGCAAAAATACCGACGAAGGAATTRATATCTAGGTAGGTGAAAGCATGAAAATTCGTAATTTTATCTCACAAGGCCCGGACCTAACTCAACAGCGAGGAGTAATAAAATAACTGACCTACAGCAATTAATTGTAGGAAGCCCAGCGCGAATAATTAAACAAACCACAAATAATAAATGAATACATACCTTCCGAGCGAAGCGGACGGTGGCGTTATTGTCAAAAAGCGATTTCTGTTGGAATGGCGACGACCGACAGAAATCTAAGGGCTGCAGTGCCGACCAGACGCGCTATGCAGCAGAGAGCAGAGGAGAACAGAGCGCAACGGCCGACGCGGGAAAAGTGAAAGACCGGCGGCGGCGACCATGTGACTGTGTGTGGACTATTATTATTGCGAGGACCGGCACCGAGGACTCACGAATGACGAACGACGACGAACCTACACCGTTGCACATTGCCCATCGCCGCTCGTCCCGCGACCCGCCACCACGTCCGCACTGGCGGCACCGACGACGGGCCGTTCGAATCAGGTTTTCGCCGGTGCAGTGGAGCGTGTGCCGTGTTATCGCTTATCGGTGTATCGCGAGAAAACCCGAACGAYGGGTGGCGGGCAGGAGGTGGCTTGGACATCCGGCACTCGCCGTTATTACTTGATTTCTAATAATATAATAATATTATTCCCAGTGCGCATGGTAAACAATCGAGCAATTCCAATGTTGAAATAAAAATAACACCATGTTTCACTGTCGTACACGATTCGATTGAATTTCCACTGGGATAACCTACCGAAGCCGAAAGATTATTAATAAATAACAATATTGTCACAAATATTAACGGGTACTGCGTACATAATCAAAAAAGTATTTCATTGTAAACCATTAATTTATATGACCAGTGTTGAATTATACGTACTAAAAATTGTATTCAAAATACTTATAAAACACTTTTTTAGCCAGTGTGTTGGAGAATATTTTGTACAGGACTCCAATAATAATTAATATAATTAGTACCAAGAGAAAAAAAGAAAATCACCGTGTCTTGATCGATAACGTTAACTATTTAAAAGAAATTTTATTCATTTTTCGATTTTTAAGTTTGCAAGTAAATAGATGTTCAGTTTTATTTTAGTTAACTCGCAATAATCGTAAATCGTATCATACTATAATTTTTAATTACGATGTACCCAGTTGTAGTAACTATTAACTATTAGGACACCCGCATGTATTGTCTTCGTCTTACAAATGTTAAAGATTACGAAAACTGATATGCGCGGGAAAGAACCGAAAATGCTACAGATATCGAACTCCGCCACCTAAAAAGGAGAATTTTGGCTGTAAAATAATGGATTTTGAAACAATAAGAATTATTTTCGTAGTGATATCAAAAAAATAAAAACCATATTTCACAGATTATGTTCTCAATTATATTAGTACATCAATTTGGAATTTTAGCCATCACTACAGCTCGAGTAGTCCTACCCCACGAAAAATAGTTTTTTCCTATGTTAACATGTTGTAGGTAATTGTAAGATGAAGATAACACATGCGGATGTACGTCCTTTTTACCTTTTTGTATTATTACTCTTATTACGGTCGATTGTAAATTTCACTGATTTACTGAGGTACTAGGTAGTCGATTTTAGGATCGGATTTATATCATGTAAATTCCACTGATAGTTTTTTTACCCCCAAAAAAATACACAAATTCCACCGGTGCGTATTTTTGACCTAAAAGCACGTAAACTCCGACGTAAAATTCTAAAATTCACAGTTAACATTATGCAATTCGTTAATGCTGCATCTAATAATTATCAATCTAAATTTTTTATTTGTTTTAAGTAATTATTTTTGTACTATTAACTAGCTGTTCATTTTATTGATATTTAACTATACTGTATATATGTTTTATTTTTATTACTCTCAACTTACTTCTTTTTTTATCTAAATTGTTGAACTGGGTGAGAACTGCCTATGCTTTGTATTCCCAACTCAACTTACTACTAAAAT